CCCTGTTTTCAGCTAAGTAGGTAAGACTAGCCTGGTAATGATGCAAAAAGGAGCCTAGAGCTTCTTTTTGCATCATTACCCATTTTCTTAGCCAAGATCAAACAAGCAGCAACCTGTATAAGTAAGTTTTAAGGAAGCAACAGCATTGCTTTAGGACAATTTTAGATGGACAGCACACATACACTTTCCTCCTTAATAAGTGCTAGTGTGAAAGATACTTAACAGCTATCATGCCCCCCATCACACAGGATAGGTCTGAAGATTATATACCCTGTTCCTTCTACAAATCAGTGTGAGGTTATCTAACATACAATAGTGAATTTCTCATGGGACTCTTGTTGATTGTGTGCCATGGTAAAACAAAATGTACCCTTGGCCCAGAAAGCACATAAAATGGGGGTACTACATAAAAACACTGAATTAATGTTAATTACCGTGGCTGCCTATGAAACCACATTCTAAGCAACCAACAAATCTGATCACCAAATGTAATCAAAGTAATTAAGTTTGACGGACATTAACTTGAACATGTAACATGAAAATGAAGACCAAAGAACAATGAGCAAGCCTGATTTCTACTTTCAACAAATACCTGACTATCCAATTGGCCTGCCTGACAAATGTCAGTTCAGGGCTGGGAGGTGGGTGGTGTGCCCTGGCCTATGCAAATTACATTATTCAGAATATTAACATTGACAATACATTTTCAGGATCTGTGGCAGCAGTCTTCATTAAGTAATGCACCTTATAGAGCCCTCTGTAGAACACTGACTTTGCTTTGTGTTAACAATCCCCACTACAGGTTTACCAAAAAGCTTAAAACACAGGTTAAAAGGAGAACTATGAGATGAGTGATTTCCACTCACCTCATAGTTCTAGCCGATCCTGTCACGGCTCTCTGCCTTGACAGGGGGAGAGGCTGGATTCCCCTCTCCCCGCTCCGATCTGCCAGCGCTGACTGGCGGAACAGACGGGGGAGGGTACAGCTGGCTCTGCCTCTAGATAGGCAGAGCCAGCTGTCACTCACGCAGCTGGGCGGATCCCATCGTCTAAGTCGGGATCCGCTCTGGCTGCAGCGTCTCAGTATACCGCGAGCTGTAGCTCGCGGTATACTGAGCTTAGGGTAACGGGAGGACGCTGGTTTGTGTCCTTCCGTTACCCTGAGAACTATGGGGAAAAACACTGACCCCATAGTTCTCCTTTAAGATAAAAAGTACTGCATAGAAAGTTTACATAAATATATAATGTAATACTTTCAGAACTGAAGTCATTTGAGTGATGTTGTTAGTGTGGGGGGTACTACTTGCCCACACAAACATTTCCTGTCCAGGCATCCCAGTGAATCAAAACAGTGGCAACTTCGCCTTGGCATGAAATGGCTAGTATAAAAAAATAAATACAATAAAAAAAAAAACATTACAGAACAATGCAAAAAATCTTGAAGCTGACTTTCTGAAAAAATAAAAATCATCATTTATTGCAGCCAATTATTTACATTTACAGTGGCACGTAAAGCTGTAGAGTTCGATTGGTTCACAGTGCTCACAATCCTTCTGATCTGAACTGAACTCTGCAAGCTTAGGTCTACCTGCAACTGATCTTTTCCCATTACTGACTTACACTGTGTTGAGGTGGCCATCCTGGAAGAGACAGGGCCTCATGTCTGAACCTCCAGAAAGGAGAACAGCTGCTCCAAATCTGGTTAGACAGGCAGTCAGAGGCAGAAGTGCCTTAATCTTACACTGCAGATATACAGCTATGAGGCACAGGCTAAGGAGTGCAAAGCTATTTTTTAGGAGAAACTCCCGAAAAGACATTTTCAGGGTACTATTTAGAAATATTAAAATGACACTTTATAAATCTTCCCTAGAATATAGCAAATGTTCCCTTTTTTAGATCAGTTCCATTTTAACTGCGTTTTACTTTTGGTTTGGAGTTTAGTTTTATGTAGAATGTCTTTTTAACAACTTATTTTAGATATACTGCACGTATAACTTTATGGTGTCTACAAGCCCTGACAATGAACTATGCGCCGTATGGTGCCTTTGCTTGTGGTTAAGGCCCCATTCACACCTATGCGTATTGTAATATGCGCGTCTGTCACGCGTTTTTTTACCGCGATTCGCGGTAAAAAAGTCGCGCGACCGTCGCGCGATTCCAAAGGCTACTTGGCAGTATACAAATGGAAAACGCCCTACAAAACGGACCAATACGCAGCAAAAAACGCTCCGGGACCTTTTCATGCGTGGGCCGTTTTGTAGCGCGTTCGGGACGGGCGGAAATACGGACAGGTGGGAACGATACCATTGACTACAATGCTATTTATTTTTTTGACCGTTTTGTAGAGCGTTCATCGAGCGTAGGACGCGCTACAAAACGGTCAGGTGTGAATGGGGCCTAAAAGTGTGTTAGCTGTTCGAAAAGTAAAAAAAAATCCTGCCAGAAATCATGTGAGCTAATAACCGTCAGCACGGGGAGTTTTCAGTCATCAGTTACATTAGTCTTGGCTCCTATCGCCCCCACACCTGTGAAATGCAGTTCTGCACGCCGGGCATGTGTTTTTTTTTCAACATTTAGTGCTGCGAGCAAGTAGGGCTAAATGTAGAGCAGGTTTTGTACAAGTAATCTTATGGCAGCCTGCTTTTACCACCCCCCATCTCTCTGCCGTGGTTTTCAGAGTGCCTCGCTCTTCTGGGGGACCCGGGACCATGGCAAATGACTTCAGGATGGAGAGTGGGCAGCAGACCCCAGAACGTCCATTCCCTAATCTGCTCTGTGTGATCAGTGAGATAGGAGCACTGTACTCACAGCGCTTCCTGCTGAGCTACACAGGACATTGAGCAAAATGCTGTGCTCGATCTTCTGTATTGGAGGGCAGGCTCTATAAAAAGAACCTGTAGCCTCCAAACACTATCACATAGGGGCTTGTTATCCCATGTGTGATAGCAATAAAGTTAAAAGAGAACTATGGGGTGTTATACTAGCGTCCTCCCGTGACCCAAAGCTCAGTATATCGCGAGCTATAGCTCGCGGTATACTAAGCCCGCCGCAGCCGGGAGGGATCCCGACATTACTGTCGAGATCCACCCAGCTGCGTGACAGCGGGCTCTGCCTATCTAGAGGCAGAGCCAGCTGTGCCCGCCCCCTCCCCTGTCCGTGAAAAAAATGTAAAACCAATCCTGCCGCCTCCACCATCTGCATGTGAATGGGCATCGTATGTGTGTGCCGAGTGCTGCCCCCATTCCACTGTAGCCGGGCAGCAGCGCTCTCCAACACACATGCATTAAAGGGTAAGTCCACTTTCCCAAGTAATTTGGGAACATGGAATTACCCACTAGGGCTGCAGCTAACGATTATTTTCATAATCGATTAGTTGGCCGATTATTAAGTTCGATTAATCTGCATGTGAATGGGCATTGTATGTGTGTGCCGAGTGCTGCCCCCATTCCACTGTAGCCGGGCAGCAGCGCTCTCCAACACACATGCATTAAAGGGTAAGTCCACTTTCCCAAGTAATTTGGGAACATGGAATTACCCACTCAAATATGGCCCCCTCTCCCGCCCCCTGCTATACTTATCTTTTCGGCAAACGGTCCTTCCCCTCAGCCACTACAGGTGTACGTCCTACTGCCGTCCTGCACTATGGATTTTGAATTTCACTCGGAAATTGTGAGCACTTTGCGAGAAATTGTTAGCACAGTCATCTGACTACAAAGACCAATGAGAAGCTCTTCTTAGCACAGTTAAATACGGCTTTCGTTAAATTAATTGTTTGTATCACGATAAGTAGATTGTCATGAGGAACAAGTAGATTGAGCCCCCGCTTTAGTCCTTGCACATGTAGTTTTTTTAAAACATTGCCACACCCCTGCTGGCTGTGAACTACAGAACACCTCCCCGTTATGAAAAACAAGATAAAAAGGAGGTGTTTTGGAGTTCTGCACTAGGGTGACAACTCTAACTCTTCATAGATCAGTATGGTGAGTAAGAGTTGTCACTATAGGTCAGAAAGTATGTTACCAGCAGAACCACCAGTTGAAAACAAAAAGGAAAAAGCCTGAAAAATAAATAACGTACAATATATTACATTTTCACTCTTTACACAAGACAGCACAGCCAGCCTGAGTGCTCAACTTTTCTATACTACAGCTAAGTAATACAACAAGGTATTCTCCCTGTGCCCAGCCTTAGACTTGACAGTGAAGGAGAAGCAGCAGACTGAAGAGCTCATCTCTCTCTCACTTTGTTCACTAATCAGTATGTTCCTTGTTCACTGCAGCACAAACTGACTGGCTTCTTATGCTGCTACTCTATCTTTTAGGCCCGGTTCACACCACAACCGGCACTGCGTTCCAGAGCGTTCGGCCTCTGGAATGCAAGCCGGGCGGCTCCCCGCGTTCAGTGGCGGTCTATTGAAGTCAATGCCACCTCAGCCACGCCCCCCCCCGGAGGGCGATTGCCCGCACCGCAGGCACACTAGTGCCTTCAAGGAACGCAGGGAGCCGGCCGGCTCGCGTTCCAGAGGCCGAACGCTCTGCAACGCAGCCTTTGGGGTGTGAACTGGCCCTTAGTCTGAGCTCTGCAGTTCAGCGGACAGCAAGAGGCAGATAAGTCAAATTCAGGTACTTACAATAGTTGCTTTTAAAAATAAAAGACTTCATAATCTTCAAACCACTTGGAATCTGAAACTTATCAGGGCAACCAGGCAGAATGATGCATGAAGCATTTTAACTATGGATAACCTTGATGTTGACATCAATATCAATTTAATTGAATGATTGGAAATGCCATAAAGAACTTTTCACCAAAGAGAACAGCATTCAACAGCAGCACAACATGTTTGCAAAAATGCATATGAACATCACAGGTTAAGATCATTGCATTGCGATCAATAAAACCACTTGGTGCGTTAACATTGTGGGAATAATGAAAACATCTTTTACCAAAGTTATTGGTTCCTCGCATGGCACATTAAAAAAATACAATACCTGAAACATTGTTATCAAACAGATGTTTTATTAGGATCTAAAAACAAAATGCACCCAACATTAAACATTTTTTTTTCTACTCACTGCAGTACAAGAAACAAATCACAGATACTTAACTTTGGATTATTACATGGACTGTGGTGTGGATTTTACAAACCTTGTACTATTTTCTTGTCTTTTGTATCTTAGTACTGCGATCCGCCAAATATTATTTAAGCCAATTAACAGCAACATAAAAATAATCCCACCTTTGTCTAGACTTTAAAAAAAATCAGCAGCCTGAAATGCAACCAGTCCCAAAAATTCAACTCATCAACTGCTGTACAATTTTTATATTCTTCCATAGGAAGTCTTTTTGCTGGACATTTCACAGGTGTTTGATGATAAAAGCACGTGGGGCAATGCTTGTGATTTCTAATTTAAAAATAAAAAAAAAATCTCTACCTATCATCTTCAGATTAAGAGCAATCTATACAAGTCAGTTGTACATTAAGTGAAAGGTGAACAGTAACGTTAGATTAAATTTAAGATTGGCTGACAACAAGCAAACTAGTAAGGTCCAATCAGCCATTAATCTATTACTTAGAGATGACAACTTTACAAAAGGTATCTTTACCTACTGAGTGATGATTATGTCCCCTCAGTTTCTGTGCTTTCAACCATTTGTTGACTTTCTACTTCAGCATCCTTGGTATCCTTCTCTTCAGTTACTTTGCCTGATGATTTTTTCTCACAAAGTTCAGGATCATTTGCGTTTTTAGCAGTTTGTGTTTGACCGCCAGTCTCTGGCAGATCTCCATTAACCTGAGGCACTTTATCCTCTTTCTGGTTAGTAGCGTTGGCTTCTGCAAAACATTCAAACATTTGTGAGTGAGGAGGCATCCAGTTGCTGGACGGCCTCTCCCTTCCAAAGCGGTTGCCATTCATTTCTCGTCGAAAACCGAATTCTCGATCATCTCTATCTCTCTGTCTCTCCCAAGGGCGTCGACGTTCATCCAAATCTCTGTTAGCCTCTGGTTCAAATCCTCTGTTCCAACCCGGCGCATTCCTAGGCTCATGTCTATAGTTGCCATGGCGATGTCTTTCATCTTGAAAGCCCTTTGGACCACCAAAACCAGTGAAAGGAAAGTGTTGTCTTTCATCAAAATCACCTCTATGTCCCCATGGCTTATCTGGGTGAAACATTATTTGCTCCCTTCTACCACCATCTGAAGGTACTCTTCCAAAATGATCCCTTACATCCAGGGGAGGTCTTCCAAAATGTTCTCTCCCATCCATTGGTGACCTTCCAAACTGATTTCTGCCCTCTAGTATAGGTTGTCCATAATGATCTTTACTATCCATGGGTAGTCTCCCAAGGTGATTCTCTGGAATAGGTCTACCAAAATGATCACGTCCATCTGGTGGTGGCCTGTTAAACATTTCTCTCATCTCCAATGGATGTCTCCCAAATGGTGGTAATATATCTACTGGGGAGTTTGCGAATTGCAGCCTACCTTCTAATGGTGGTTTCAATTCACTGTCATGAGAATCGGGGATATTTCTTAGCTTACTTTCATAAGAAAGGTGATCAGATGCTCTAAGACTTTCAAGAGACCGTGCATCAGCTTTGCTCTCAGTTTCATGGGAACCTTCCACAGATAAGTACCCAGCACCACATTCAGGAAGTTTATCCTGTCCCTCAGAAGGATCTACAACAGCCATGTCCTGTAGCTCATGATTATCTACTGCATGTCTAGCATTAACCTCAATTTCCTCTGCAGACATCGCACCTTTATTTTCTTGGGCAGCTGTGGCTGGTATAGCTTCATTATGTTCACTTTCAGACGACTGCCCGACATTTTCTACTGGTGGAAAACGGTAATCCTGGTCTCCTTCTTGTTGAATGTTACTGCCCGGCAAAGGTACACTTTCTTCTTGAGTAGGAGTGTTATCAGAATTCAGTCTACTTGGAATATTTAGATGAGGGAAAATATCCCCTGGCGGGAAAGGAAGAGAATGCACAGTAGGGTCAATAAGAGCTGGTGGAAGCATGCTCCTTGATGGTGGTAGAGGTGGCATTGCAGGAGTTAATAAAGCAAATCTTGCCGGTTGGTGCAGTAATCCGGGACGAATATCTAGGAAGGGCATTCCTGCAATTCTACCTTGCATGCTCAAATGAGGAACAGGTGCCGTGAGAGGGGGTTGTGGCTGCATTGTCAAGATCCCAGCACTGTTCACCACAGTGTTTAGAGAGGCTGAAAGGCAATACAAAAATTAATTAATTATAAAAGGTATATGTCAAATAAAGCATCAAAAACAATTGAGCAGCTATTAAAAAACTTTCATCCAATATAATGACCAAAACACTAACAGGGTTATTCACTAAAGGGTGAAGAGTTTGCAGAAGGCAACAATCTAGGACAACATAGATGATTTGGAAACATTCTCCAATTCAGCTCACTTTCCAGTTCAGCTATGTTGTCCTAGATTGTTCACTTCTCCTGCCTTCTCCAAACCCTTCACCCTTTTGTGAATAACCACCTATATTGCCAAAAAGTATTGGGTCACCCCTCCAAATCATTGGATTCTATATACTACCATATACTAATCATGTGAAAGTAATACAAGGGAGCAGTGCAAAGAAACTTAAAGTACCCAGGATGCATTGTCAAAGTAGTTAATTTGGGTGTTCCAGGAATATGTGTTGACTGCTAAGTATGAAAGGATAAACTTTTAGTTTACTTTCCAAAAGCGCAGATTTTTTGTTGCAATCATGAAAGGATATTAACATGCGACCTGTTCAATGGGACCGTTTACAGTCAAATATTAGTATAAGGAACACCATATGTCTAAACCTCCACGAGACGATGAGCTAATACAGTGGTCCCCAACACCCGGCCAGGTATAACTAATGTGTCACACGTTTGGGTGCCGGCGATCGCACTGGGGGCAGGGGGCTCAGCTGCGGTGACGTTGAGTTCAATGCACCACCAGGGGCGTACTGACCATACGGGCATTCGGGCACGGCAGAGCCAGCTGTACCCGCCCCCTCCCGTTCCTGGTATGTGGGTCAGCGTGAGTGAGGACGCTCTCCTGTGACCCCTCCCCTAATTATAAAATATAAACAATCAACGACCCGCAGCGGGTAAAATTATCAAACGTTGACCGGTCCGCGGCGATAAAAAGGTTGGGGAGCACTGAGCTAATACACCAGTGTAGTGAACCTACTTCGGACAGAACAAATAGTTAAACTGCGATTCCTATTTCCGTTATGATACGCAAAATTCAAGGGGCAGTAGGGTGAGGCGGAAGGACCACACACGTTATGCCATACCCCTAATGTTCATCCAAATTCCCCTAAATGTATGTTATTATATGTATTACTATAAGTTACAGGATCCATGCGATCGAGTTCATGCCTCTTATTAGCACTGGCACTTTTTCGCCTTGATAGTATTGTATTTTTTACCGACATGCATTATTCTTGTATGGCTAACACTGCTTTATGAAATAAAGAATAAAAAAAAAAAAAGAAGAAGAAGAAGAAGAAGAAGAAGAAGAAGAAACTTAAAGTGGACAAATAAAGAAATATAATTTGATGCTTACCATTTGAAGATCTTTCTGTGAGGTTTTCCATAGTGGGTTGTCTTTTATTTTCTTGCTCTGCTTGTGTATTTAAAGCTGGGTTAAACACAGATGCCGTGGGCGCTGAAGTGGTTCCTGATCCAACAGGTAACATCAGGTTGCCATATGAAACCTCTTTCATTGCATCTGCAGAGATGGGCAGTCGTGGAACTAGTGCTTTAAACAAAATTAAAAGTTCAACAATTATAAAAGCATTCACAAAAATGTTGAAAATAACCACCTAAGGAAATCATATGGACTCATAATGAACTCTGCTAAGCACTATTCACATCCACAATAGTGCACATGATTTAACATTACAGAAAAAAAAGACTTTTTGTGAAGAAAATATTCAATGTTATAGGATGCCTCTGCCTATAACAGGACCTGCATGTGACCACTACCCCACAATGTCAGATGAATGTCATTATTGTCAAGAGACAGTGATCTCTACGCATAATATGGTTCACATGAAGTCCCAATCATCTCAAAGCAGGGTGGGCGCTGACAACAAATCATTCTGTTTGGTTTGCAAGATAAGCTAATTAGCGAAGTAATTAGCATCTGTCCCAGCTCCAGGCACACAGACAAAATTATAAATAAGATGTATTTAAAAAAAACCAAAGAGCTACATTATTACCGTGTTCTAATCTTTATTAGAAAAAAATGTCCAAACTGCAATTGGTTTGCAGGTCCTTCAAATTAGACTGCAAAATGTGCTGGCTTGCAGAAAAGTTCAGTTACGATGACCCACTACCTCTGCGGGATTTAATGAAGCAGAGTGCATTTTACATTTTTTTATTCTCTTCTGCATGACATAGATACACAACTATATTTCAAAAAAATGTTTGTTCTCACCATCAAAACCTTTCTTGGAGTACATTGAGGAATTCAGGAAGTCAGGAAGTCAGTGCATTGGAAGTTCACCCTAGAATTACCTAATGAACATTAAACAGCCATATAAAACATGTACCTTGATAAATGCATAGCACCATGTTTGACTTCAGTCCACGTTTTGGCTGCCCAGCAATCTGCATGAGAAAACTGCTCACTATTACCGGAAAAATCATGCAACTTAGGACATAGATAGCATGGGGTGGTCTGAAAGACACCCTGGTGTCGCTGGTAATAGCTGGTAGTTTTCCAAAGCTGATTGCTGGACAACGGAAGAGGGAGGGGACAGAAGTGTAATACAATTATCATGGTATAATGCATTTATGAGGGTGCAATGCACTGATCAAGATACATGTGTGTTATAGCTGTTTAATATTCGCTGAGTAAAACTATGTTGAATTTCCACTTTACATGTCTGGTTATACTGCTGCCTACAAGAGGATGAACAAAAAAACTGCAAGCCAGCAAAGGATAACCCCCCACTATCAGCATGCTTCAGTTTTGTAGCAAAGCAGTACCAAGAGCATGATCATAAACAAAGAGAGGTGGAACCTGTGTCTATCTATTGGCCCCACCTGCTCTAAGGTTGCTGGCCAGTGATGTAAGAGGAGGCGGGGCCCCCCTCCTCCATTCCAAACACCGCCCTCATCTGCCGCATCGGCTGGCTGTCACTGACACAGCTCCGCAGCGGCTATGAGGGGAAATGCGCCGTGGCCGCTGCTGAGCTGTGTCTGTGACAGCCAGCACCCCCACATGCCATAGCGACCCTGTCCCGGGCCCCATAGCGGCCGCCTGGGTCGCTATGGCGATTGTTACGCCACTGGATCCCTAAGACTACAAGCTTCAATATTTGTCTGCCTAAAAACTGAGAAATGGCGGAACAAGAAGCTGGTTTACTTCCAGGCTAGCCCCACAAAATCCAGTCCAGCAGGGTCTAGGTACAGAACTCCAAAGCTAGGCTCAGGAAAGTCAATCTGGATAGCTGCCATTGTAGAGACCAGCTCAAGCAGCAATGTAGCAAGAAATCTTAATTGAAGTGAACAAAAAATGAGAAGACTTTTCCCAGTAGAGCTGGAGGAGCCATTCTCCTAGGACACTACCAAAAATCGAAGGCATGCTGTTAGTAGGAGGGGTTATCCTGGGCTGGCTTACTTTTTGTTTGCCAGTGTCCAATACTCCAGTAGGTAGCTGTATGACCTGACCATTGCTGACTTTGTGTCTCTCAATGGACAACAAAGAGAGAGAAATACCTCCTACTTGATAAAGCAATGCAAATGTTACTAGCATTGACTTAGGTTCCTTTGTGTGTAATACTGAATATGGACATTTTACAGAAAGATGCCAGTGCATAAGTAAAAATATAACTTTTCACATCATTATTACACACCAGAGTGCCTGTCTTCTATTATAATACCTTCCACTTGCCATTATATTTTTGGAATAATGCATTTATCGCTCCAGTTTTGTTTCATCAGACTTAAATGCTAAAGAAAATGGCATGAACAAAAATGATGGAACTCTAAACCTAATATTCTGTTGCACAACCTTTAGAGGCAATCAATGGAAAAAAAATGATTTCTGTAGCTCTCAATGAGACTTCTGCACCTGCAAACAGGTACTTTGGGCCATTCTTCTTCAGCAAACCGCTACAGCTGTCTTAGGTTTGGATGGTGGCATATTTTAGCTTTTTCCACAGATGTTTGATAGGATCCAGATCAGGGCTCATAGAAGGCCAGATCAGGGCTCATAGAAATAATATTTTGTTCTTAGCCACGCTTGGGTGCTTTTAGCTGTGTATTTTGGATCAGTATCCTGTTGAAGCATCCATGACCTGTGATTGAGACAGAGCTGACACTGGGCAGTACGTTTCACTCCAGAATTCATTGACAGTCTTGAGATATCATTGTGCACCACGTGCCAGACAAGGCAAAGCACACCCCAAAACATAACCCGACCTTCTCCATATTTCACAGTAGGTACAATTCTTTTTACTGTAAACATAGAGCTGATGTGACTTGCCAAAACCTCTAGTTTTATCTCATCGGTCCTAAGGACATTCTTCCAGAAGCATTATGGCTTGTCAATCTGCACTTTAGCATATGCCAGTCTGGCTTTCTTTGAGTCCACTGTTGCTCAACAAAGCGACAGATGCTGCAATCAGATCTGATGTTCTGTGACCTTGGAGTTCAGCTCGTATTTCTTTAGACGTTTTCCCTGACTTTTTGTCTACCATGCGCACTATGTTCCGTTCAGCATGGGGTTGATTTTTCTCTTGCGGCCTTGTCCAGGGAGGATGACTACTCTCCCATGGTCCTTACACTTCATAATAATATTTACAGCTGTAGTCACAGGTTACCTGTAGTTACCTTTGACATGCCCGCCTATAATTTTCATCCTGATCATCTCAGACAACACTCTCCTTTGCTGTCTCTGGTACATGTTCGGTGTGGCACACACGATGATACCAAACAGCAGATGACAAGATTGAAGTCATGTGTGATACTAATTACAGAAAAGAGTTAGTTTGAAATATCACTGTGATCCAATTATTTGTGATGTTTTCTAGGGATACCAACAAATCAGCCCAGGCCATTTTCAAATATATTTCTAGAATAAGAAATAATAGATCTCTTTCCTCACTTTTTGCTTTACTCGATGACATATAAAAGACATGCAGGGATACATGACACAATTAAGCAACCTTAATCTTAATTGTCAGGAGCAATTTTCCTTGTGTATTATTTCACTCACCTGTTGGGATAGCTGAGCTAATTGCGGGAGGAGGGATGGAAGGTGGTGGCACATGTGGTGAAATATAACCTGTAAAACATAATGAAAGGATATGACTAAATAAGCATTCCCAGTATGATTTCTCAGTCTGGGTGCACATCTGTATATCAGAACAGAAAGCAATGTGAATGTTTATGCTGCAATACTGAAAACGCCATGTGCTTAAGATGACAATAATATTGCAAAGTGGGATTATGCCAACACATATTAATGGGGATTCTATCTGGATCGTCCCATATGGTTTTCATGAATAACCTTTGTTCCAGTTAAGCCGTCAGGTACTCCAAAACACAGGGAGGAATTTATCAAAACTGGAGCAGACAGAACCTGGAGCAGTTGCCCATGGTAACCAATCAGCATCTCTCCTCAGTTTGCTCAGGTACGATTTGAAAATGAGACAGAGAAGCTGATTGGTTGCAGTGCAAATCTGCTCCACATTTTGTCTGCTCCAGTTTTGATAAATTCCTCCCACAGTGTCTTAAAGTACATATGGACTTAAATCAAACTGTACCCAAAAGACTTGTTTTATGTTATAGACAAAGCAGGGAAGGACTGGAACCTCTGGTTGATATAGCAATCTGTGTCCCTATAGAAGAGATTTCCCCCTTTCTTTCGGGATGGAAAATTTCTCCATGGAGGACACAGAAAAACAAAAACACATTTCTAGTAGAGCAAGGAAGGGATAGTACTTTGGACAGTGTATTCACTGCTGTCTGTGCTGGCAACAGTAACTCTCATTTCTTGCAGATGTGCTACAGGGATAGCACACGAGGCAAAATCCTCTCAATATAGTCACACACAAATAAAAAAAACTGGATAATTTTTATTAATTTGAACTTAAATTAATTTTGGCTGGCGTTGGACTTGCTCATAGTGACTGGTTCTCTTATGTAGCAAAAACTAATATGAAGGAGAAAAGTAGAGCAGGTTCCACTAATGACGATTTAGAATACTTTGTATAGCATTCTCTAGCATTGTGTGGATTATTTGCTAAAAGAAGGTGTAACAAGCTAAAATGTCAATTAGCATCACAGATCATAATCATGAAGTCACAAAAAACCCTTACACAATCTAACATATTTACAACACTTATATGGAAATGTGACATAGCTAGTACAGCTTTAAACAGGCCTTAAAGGGCTTGCTCAAGCCAGTCTATTCATAGAAAAATATATTTTACATTTTTGGAACACTGTTGTTGAACTTTAATTACCAAATGCATACCTGGTGGTGGCTGTGAAGGGTTGAAAGCTGCACGCATGAATGGAGGTGGAGGAAGAGTGGTGTAGCCCGGAGGGGGAACCGTCATGGAGACAGGGAATGCAGGTGGTACCAAACTTACAGCAGGAACAGCGGGGACAGCAGGAACAGCGGGGACAGTTGGTGCAACTGGAATCTGTTTAATAACAATAATAAATTAATAGAAAACAGAACTGATATGAAGAAAAAAAGACATAAGTCATTATGTTCAATTTAAAGCACACAACAAAAATGGAATAAGTTTGCAGCTTACCAGCCCACAGCTTCTCATGCGGTTGCTGAATGCAGAACAAATGTGTCCAGGGACAATCATCTCTCCCGAGCCGCAGGTAATCATACCATGTACGATTACATGTGGACTGCTGCTGACAGATGCAGCTGCTGTCACCTTGTCATCAACTTGCATGGGTACAGCACCTGCATCTGAATGGGGACACTTGGGATTCCTGTGGTCATAATCTGTAGGTAGGCTTTTTCCTTTATTTTCACCTGGTGATCCTGCCAGCAATGCACTTTCTGTCTCAGGATGATACGACTCATCGCCGTACTATATGTATGGGGGTCCAGAGCTATCACTCTAGGGCAGGACTACAGAACACCTCCTCCTCTCCATAATATAGCAATCTTCTCCATCCAAGGAGACTGCCTCTGCTGACTGTTTTAAGTTGCCATTGTTCCCAGCTGACAGGGCAGGAAGTTAACAGCTGACAAGATATCTGGGATATTGTTTGCACTTATTGAACAGATATAACAAAACACTTTCAATTTAACAGGGGAGCAAAGATAAGTTCATTATTAGGATTTACATACACATCTACTAAACTAAATCTGTGCTTTGCCCGTAAACAGCAAAAGAAAAGGTTCACATTATTGCCACCCTTTCCATCAGCATATAGTGACCTTTGCTTTGCTCCCCTGCTCTCTAGCTTTCTCCTGAATCATCATTTGCATCCAATATTTTCCTTGCATCTACATTTAGCTGCCAGGGGCAAAGAATGGTACTCTGTAAATGTAGTTGGATTTTCATTTGGAGCTTACACATTGCATGTCGTGAATCACATTCTCCCCCATACCTCAAAGCAAGTTTGAAAACCTTGTGTTACTGATATACTAAAATAAGCCTCCTCGGTTTCCCTGCACGGCATTACCTGGCAACTCTCAAGCTACGTCAACCATGTATAATATTTTTTTATATGTCTCCAACCATCACTGATTATTCGCACAATGCATTTAGGGGATTTCTAAAATGGTAAATCCAAAGAGGTTTTTATTGTCTACTAGTAGCCAAACATAATTTTAAGACATTTCTCACGGTGCAGCTGATAATTAGGGAGTGTTTATCAGGTAATTAACGGGAGTAATAATCAGTAGAACTATTCTTTTGCCTGTGAAATGGCAAGATGTGTCATCATTTTGTTAAATAAAACGCAAGCTTCAACAGGCTTACTCAAACCATAAATGAAAGGCGATAGCTGAATGAAGCAAAGCAAGCCCATGTTCTTAACATGGAACGCCATAGATTTCTATTAAACACATCAGTGAAAGGTTGCATAGTTCATATTTCTGTTGCTAAGCAATCATTTCCCCTTTCTTGTTTCACATAAATGTCTATCACATAAAAACAACTGCTAGAATGTGTGGAATACATTTTACAGGAAGGAACCAGCGGTGCAAACAGCTCAACACAGTAATCCAGTTGTTTTGCCCATGACCCTACACCCTCTATGTTAACACAGCAAACTACTGGTTGAAGGTAGAGGGCCCGAGTCACCAGATTAGTAAGGAAGCAGCTCTATGGGAAATGTGTATCAAATAGAATCGCTCTCCAGCTTTCTCCTGAATCACCGTTTACATTCAATATTTTCCTTGCATCTACATGCAAGGAGAAACTGGTAATACGGCATGTAAAAGTTACAATTGGTTTTAACAGGATACTGTTCAGGATTAATGGTTTATTTTCAGCGCTGACTGTAATGGAAAAGGCATTAGGAAAGAAATATTGCTTTGTGTGAAGAAAAAAAAAAGTCAGTATCTTTAACCACCTTCCGTCCATGGCCGTTCGTGAACGGAAGTCTGCTCAGAGCGGGTGGGCGTCTTAAGACGTCCTGCCCCTCCCCCCCTCTCGTGCGCGCGCTGAGCGCCGCACACGAGAGGGAAAACTGTTAGCATGTAAACAGCCAGCGATGGCTGTTTACATACAAACGATCAGGCGTCTCTAGAGACGCCAGATTGCTTGCACGATCTGCGGATGTAGCAGCTCTGAATACTGAAAAATGGCCTGGCCAGGAAGGGGGTGAAACACTATGGCCTTTAAGTGGTTAATGATGATGAATAATGATGATGATTATTATGATTATCATTATTAGCTTTTTTACATCATATGCATCCTGCAGTGCTATGCCTTTGCCACCTCATTCCTATTCTTATATCCCCTTCATTAAATAAACATCTCATTTCTTCTGCCCCCCCAAGTCTGGTCCTCAATTCTTGGCCGATGAATTCAGTAAAGCTGGCCATAAATTATGTGAATTTCATGCTATGCTTCAGGAACCAGCCGGATTTCGTACAGTGGGTGCCGCTGTTCGGCCACCATCCCTTGATCAGGTGATCAAAGGAGCCGGCCGGAAAATCTTCAAAACAAACTGAGCCTGCAGCCGTCGGCTTCGTTCCGGTATTCTGACAGAGGCCTGCGGCCGCTGTCGCCGCGCTAAGGAAGCATCAGTGATTCCTCGATCAACGCTTTTAAGCGTTGATGAAATCTGTTCTGCTTTTTATTTATTATTCAGCCCGCAGGTTGAACAAAAACCCTCTGTGCTCACGCCCAAAGTGAAGTGGCTCAATATTGATGTGAAGGACAAAGGAAACTCTGGAAATGTGACTCCTAGGGGTTCTTTTTTACACCACTACCTGCAATACTTATTTTGTTTAAACGCTAATGATATTCATTATATGGCAATACAGTTAATACTATACAAAAGAAGCCCCATAGTTTTATGTGCCTTTAAAACCGTTATACAACTGCAAATACATATATGGGAGCAGTTTAACCTGCAAAATATTCAGCTGGTCCTGAGATTTACACTGCCCTGCCAGACAACTTTCCTCCTCCATGTTTTTTTTGTCAGAAAACTACGATTATGTGCATACATTCCTAAGCTCCATTTAGTGGCCATAATCTGCTGTAAACCTTCTCTGCAGAGCTGTTCACATCAGAATGTTCATTTGTGCTAAGTCTAATGTTTTGTAAAGACCGGTGGTCAATTTTAGTATGTTTGCAGAATAGGAAATATCTGCTAATTCAATTTCAGTTATTTTGTCATGTTGTTTCACAGACAGACCCCTGTCCTATAGAGCGTTCGAACAACAGAAATGCTGGCAGCCTTTATGCTGTAGAAGAAAAGATGGCACCAAAATACATCCTTATAGACATTAACAAAAACACTAGCAAGCAAAGGCACTACCTTGCTACTACAGATGATAAAAGCACGTAAGCCAAGGCGGCAACACTGTGCTTAAAAAATATAAAGTTTAATATTACCAATAGGCCTCATACACATAGCTGCGTATGGAGCCGTATATCTGCGCAAAAACAGAATGGTACAGTGATGCGTCCAGGGCAGCGTATTTCTGCGTATTTACGCACGTATATGCGTACAGCACATTAAAAATTCCATTACGAGTGATGCATTCTGGGATTGCATATAGTGCACGCATATACGCTCGTATATACAATTTTGCTTGCGTTGTGTGTGAATGAGGCCTTACTAATAAATGAATACATAAAACTGGTGTTCACTATATTTGAACTTTCATGTAACCCATTGCAATTTCAAAACAAAAAAAAAAACCAGTAGCTTACATATTGCCGAATTTACATATCCATTCATAATGTTAAAAATAGTTACCTGCAGCATTGCAACTGGCTGGGTATAGGCCTCTGTTTGCGCTGTTATTGGTGGATTGGTGGATTTTGGAATCACTGGACTCTGTACAGTAGTAGTGGGAGCTGGTACAGAAATTGGCTCCTTAGTTACAGTAGGTTCTGCAGTTCTTTGATTTGACCAGTCTGTAAAACAGAAATTACATTTTGTTATGCTGAAATTAGCTTAGGTGTATTAGGTGCAATGTTACAAACACAGAACCAAGCATAGATTAGACATATGGACTCTAGCAAGTCCATCCTCAACCAAACTAAACTGGGAAAATCAGGTCCCATGCTACATATACTTTAGATATTATTAAGCTGAACTACAGGCAAACTTCTAAATGCACCATAGATATACATATATGGGATCCATTTTACCTGCCAAAGGATTTGTCCTTCTGCCCACCCCACCCTGAGGTTTTTACAGCCTAGGCCATCTGGTAACCTGACTTTTCTCTAATATAGTTAGGCAACCTAGCTAGATCACCTCCCTTGTCCCCAGGCTGTGACCAGACAATAAAAACAGACTCATGAGGTCATCTTTCCGTTTTCTCTACCGGTCTCTGTGCTCCTGTATAGGACATTGCAAGAGGCTTAAACATGTCTAATTTACACTAGTAACAGTTAAAATGTTTATTTAAAAATATATATTAAATATAACTGCATTCACTAGTATTTTTCATATCTGTCTGGCGTTTTAAGATCAAATTTATAACAAAACTTTACAATATTACAATTTAGTCCCCCACCCTCCACACACTACAGAATGAAAGTTAAATTGTTACCATTATTAACAGTTTCTTGATCAATCATTCCACCTTCGGAAAAATCTTCTAGATTATCCATTTTCACTTTTTCCCAAGGAATATATGTCACTCCAAGATCAACATCCCAGAGCTGCTTGTACTCTGTTTTTACGCCTTTATTTAACGCCCAAGCAATCTAAAAGAAACATTCATTAGACAAATAAAATAAATTTCTTGAAAAAAAAAAATACTGAAAAGCAGGAAAGACTATTCATTCTTGTACTAAAGATACATCTTTTTTAGCCCATGAATTATATTATTGTGAAAATCAAGAAAAACCTATTCATTAAAAACTAATAATTTAATGAAAGCACTGTTAACAATCTTAACTACTGTATGTATTTCCACATTCCCAAACTTAATTTTATGTAATTATGCTGCATAGTAGCCGATTCCTTCTCTGCAAGTCATAGGCTAGGGAACACTGGTCCTCTTGATTTTATATTTTATCTGAAAAGTTCCTGAAGCATTAAATTGTTAATCATGAACCATGCCAAAACTGAACTTGAAACATCAACAAACTTGCAACCTTTAGGGCTCGTTCACATGAACGCGGCTGCTCGCTGCTATATGCCAACCCAAACTTGCACTTTCATATGGATATGGATGCACACCCCTGGTCGCAGACAGTCTTGCCTCCATAGCTGTACAGATGTGCAAGTTCGGGTCAGCATGTAGCAGCATGCAGACACAGATTTCCATTAAGCTGTAAAGACAGCTGCACGCATCAGCTGTTACTCCCATGCACAGGTTTTTGCTAGGACGCGCACGCTGTATATAGCTGTGCATGTCCGTGTATGTGAATGAGACCTTATTAAGTGGCCGTTCAAATGCTAGGAGTACAGCACAAGTTGCAGCTAAACAGAAGCAGAAATATCCTCCTGCTTCCCTTTACTGCCCATTTTTGCACCAATTGATAAAGCTGTAGGAAACATGCCGCTGAAGATGGATTGCTTAACAGTTGTAATATAAAAACCTTGCAGATTTATTTGGTGAATTTTGTTGGAAAGGCAGGGGGTTTGTAATGATGTACAGCCCTGGCCCTTCTGAGGGATAAGGGCTGGTACCCACAAAACTTTCTCCCAGCCATGAGGATACCAGTCTGTAAACATAAAGGTGACCCCACTTAGCGGTGCAGATATGGCTGGCTGCAACTGACTGATGTTAGGCAGGTTAAAGTAACCATCAGCAGATCAGCCCAGAATATCAGTACATAAAAATGGAAAAAGGGAAGCGAAGCAAGAGCAGGTTCAGGCATGGGGAGTCACTAATAACTTCCATATTAATATGATTACCGTTATAACTATAAAACATGTGGCCAACACCTGGATTTATCACTGAAAAATAGGAAATCCATATGTATTGTGGATAGCGACGAAAAGGACAATTTAATCACTGAAAATATTATAATGGGTTTCCTGCAGCAAAAAAAGCTGTAAAATGGCCCGCACATTTCTCTACCGCCACTGGCCTTCACTGTACAAATATAATTCTAGAAGAGCTTGTATTAAATGTATGAAAGTCTACAAAAGTTATTTGTGCATGTATAAACTATTCAAAGAAAGAAAATGGCTTTTTATGGAAGCATACCTTAATGACTTTCGATCCGATCTTACAAGAGCCAGCGCTAAGCTTCTGAAGAGCTCTGAATGCATCTTGTCTGTGAACCATACAGACATAGGCACAACCTCGAGGTGGAATCATCTGCAAGATGTTTAAAGAAATACATTGCTTATAAATGTAAACATATTTGCAAGAGACAAACATTGACTGAACACATTTTAAGTTAGCTTGCTATGCCGCAATGTAGACCAGAAGTGCACAACATCTTTTCTTTTATATCAGGACCAATTTTAGTGTACCAGTTTTGGCAAACTCTACCCGTCAGATTTCCAATGACCTCCAAAACATGTTACCTAATAGAATGGTATTGGTATTAAATAGATTCATTTTCTAACGATTCTGGCACTTCAAAATGTCCAGAGTTATCACATTTTGAATGGAGACCACTTCCTTGCTTACAATGCATTTTTCTTTTTCCATAAATATGTTTTGGTTGATACATAAAGTCTTTGATTATTATAACTGTTTAGATGAATTGCAGTGTCTAAAATCCTTATTTCTAATTTATCCTTATAAGTACCTATAAGTACCACCCTTGTTCAATGCGCCTAAAGTTAACCTCACCCAACCTGGGCAC